GAGTACCACTGGGTACGAAAACCACGAGTACCACTGGGTACGAAAACCACGAGTACCACGGGGTACAAATACCACGAGTACCACGGGGTACGAAAACCGCGAGTACACGGGGGATACATATGCCACAGGAACCATAGGGATTGCGGGGGGAAGGGGGGGATCACCCCGCATCTGGACCACACGAGGTCAAGTACTCACGACAACATAACACTGACAACGCAGAACTAAAGAAGGGATATTATATTACTGCTGATGACGGCTGAAGATCTCACACCTCGAGGTCGCGCAGGCGGCGTTCTTCGCGTCGCTGCCGATGACCACGCTGACAGGTGACTGACAAAGCCGTGACGGGTTTAAATGCACTTCTGTCGGCAGGGGCGGAGACAGGGGGTGCAAGCTAAGGCCGAGAGGGGTGGTGGGGCACATCTATGTGCACTGCATGCAGGCAAGGGGATCCAATTATATAGGTTGAGGAAGAGGGGGAGGGGGGGGGTGAGCTGCACCTCTCTGGCCCCCCGCAGCGCGCCAGCATAGAGGACACAACAATAACAAGTGCATTCTGCAGAGAGAGAGGAATGTGAGGTGTGTGCGTTGTTGTGTTCTGTGCCAATTAACACTACACGCTGCAAAAAATAACAATGTCGTCAAGTACGTTAAACAAAACATTTGAAACGGATACTGTTAACAATTAATTTTGCAAAACAAAGAAATTTTATAAATTATACCTAAGAAACAAATTGTGTAAATTAAAAAAAATATGAACTTGCTCAATTTTTTTTTTAAATTTAGAATGAAATTTTACATTTAAAAAAAATGTATCATTATTTTTTGCAGCTCATCTTTGAAAGTATGTTTGTTTTAGCGTTACAGTGCGTGTCCGGCACGTGTTCACGCACGTGTTTCATGAGCTGCAGCACCATCCCGTTCCACTCGCCTGTGGCGGGGTCCTGGGCGCCGTACTTCCGGTCCGGCACCAGGTCGATGATGTAGTCGAAGCCGACCTCCCGCGACACCCGCGCCAGCAGGTCCACGCAGAAGCCGTAGAAGCGCGCGTTGCCCGTGTAGTTCTTCTCGTAGTGCATCATCACGTAGGGGAACTCCTGGTCAGGACGACACCGGACCGGGACGACAACCGGAGTGTGTGTGTGATACAGAGCAGTTCGCACCATATACGCCCCCCCGGGGAGGTACAGCCAATCAAGAAAGTTTTGGTGCGCCCATTAAAAAAAATTGCGATACAACCCCCGTATACCTCTCTGCAGATCAAACACGATAACATGACAATTTTTACTGAAAAACTCTAGCCAAAAAAGTCATACATGTCTAACTTGCGTTTTGTACTTTCAACCACTTCCGGTAGAAGGTCAGTTAAACAGTTAGATTTGCACAGTTGGTAGACGTGCTTTCTCTTACTGCAGGGAGAGAGAGGGAGGGAGGGAGAAAAAGAAAGGGAGAGAGGAAGAGAGGGAGGGAGAGGG